TATGTAATTATTTTTAATTTGGGCCCTTATCCGTAATTATTTTCACTTTTCAGGCCCTTATTTGTAAATTCCCCTATATTATATATATAACATTAAGTTGAGTGATTAGTAAATTAAGAATCATGTGCTATATACAAAATACAATTAACGATATGACGTCAGCAGTATTTTTATGGGCGATGCTAGGGCTGTTGCAAAGGAATATTCTAGGCATCTCTATCTATCAGATGTCTCTTATTTTTCGGTCAAAATTTATCGTAATATTTCGGGCCTACTAGCAGCATTCATATTATACTACGTATCCCGCGCAGATCACGCGTCATAGAAAGACTTTCGTATGATTGGCTGTTTAAATCAATTTAATTTTACAGTACTTATACAGTTTAATGTACTTTTTAAAAAAAATAAAACTACGAAGAATAAACAAAAAAGAAGCATATAAAAAGTTTTATTAGGGTTGTAGGACTCAACCATTAAAAATATTCAAAATCATTTCTGGTTTTAGAGAAGTTAGCATAATAGCGACTTCTTAAAAATAGATAGAATTAGGTTATTACCATGCTAATTTCTCTAAAACAAAAAGGAATTTTGATTATTTTTAATAGTGGAGTCCTACAACCCTAATAAAACGTTCTATATACTTCCTTTTTGTTAATTCTTCGTGGTTTTATTTTTTTTAAAAAAGCACTTCAAACTGTATAAATAATGTAAAATTAAATTGAGAGTCTTCCTATGAGATCACGCGCGTTGCCATCACTGGGCATCACCAGACAGAGATGCTGTCTGTAAAAAGAAAATGGTACAAAATTAAAATATATTCAACCTCTTCAAAGAATCGGGTGTTTGGATTATTCGAATTATCCAATGACTTCAAAATAATCTCACGCGATCCCGATCTTACAAGCTCTTGGGTTTCTTCATTCCACCCAACAATGTAACCATCTATCCAAGTTGCCGTATAGACAGATCCAAATCCACCTTTGGCTTTAAATTTGATATTTTTAAAATTTTCATGAGGCACCCATTCCATAATAATCCCTGGCAATGAAGTAGTAATTTGAAGTCGCTGAAGCAGTTGATCTATTTGTGTATTCCCTGATGTCCAGCTAGTGAAATTGGTTTTCAAATAATTCTTAAAACATTCTGTGCAATAAGGTTTGGAAACTTGCTTGCTTAAACATCGCGGACATATGGTTACGTGGGTGCCATTTATTGGTATATATTTAGGCATTTTCCTTGTTAAAAGTCCTTTATAATTTCTTGATGAGTGCGATTTAACTTCTTTTTTTTAGTATTTAAAATCCTTTAAATAGATGAATATTAATGATTGTTAAAATATCTTTAGGTATTGTTTATTATAGGAAATGTGTAAAACTAAAAATGTAATAGATTATAAAATGTTTATTTACTGATTATTTTACTAATAATTGTTATAATTTGAGGTATTTAAAAGTTTGCCTTATATCATTTCATCGTCATTTACTCGGCACTAACTCTGAGTTGTGCTAACATAAGTATTTAATGAGGAAACGATAGGTGAATTTGCCTCCTTATTTACATGTAAATTTCGAAATTGGGTTTAATGTACAATGAGGAGTTCATTCAATTCACGAATTAATATTATTGAATGTTTCAATTTATTAATACTGTACCAGGGACGTAGCGCATGCTTTAATAAATAGAACTAAATTAGGGTAATATATGTCAATTATTATTTGTTTGTGTGATGACACTCTAAAGAAAAATATTATCTAAAACTCGTAATACAAATAAAATTATAAAAGAAGGGGCAATTATTTGCGTATATCAAATTCGTGTGATGTATACGAAACAACGATGTAAGCAAATAATACTCAAAAGTATAACAACGAACTGTATGTACGTAACTATAATTAATGTTATAATTTAATGTAGAACAAATGTAAATAACCAATCTTTAATCTATATGTAATTTAGAATATTCTGCACTCTCTTGATCACGATTGAAGCAGATTTTTAATACTATTTATCAGGGTTGGGCAGCAATCTATGTCCAGTGAATTTCACTGAACACTGGACATATAAATTTGTCCAGTGTCCATTGATTTATTGACATATATAGAATAAAAATTAGTGGTAGATTATTGTCCTAATTATTTAGTTTGCTTGACTCTGAACAAAGGTTTTTTATTTCTAAAAAAAATTACAGACACTTGTCCAATTGCCCAACCCTGCTATTTATATTTTAGTGGTTATATGTCAATCGCCAGTCTAGAACTACAATTAAGGCAAAACAAGGGTATTGCTAATGTCACCCTTCACATTTCTAACCTAATTATTGATTAGGGTTAGATTATGTAGGGGTGGCATTTGCAAAAATAGTGGATGGCAATAGCAATTCCCTTAATAAAATACTGAGTCAAAGTCAATAATGTACTAACCAGTTGTAAATTTCCTTCTGACAAAAATCATGAGAGAGAGTTGAGCCAGGGGATTAGAAAATAAGACCTTTATTTATTGCTTAAAATTCAGAGCAAAAATTATTTGTGCAGTTGCAAGTAAAATTTTTTTTTACTTTGCACAATTACAAACAAAAATTTTTTGCTTGCACAAATATAATTTTTATAAAATATATATATATATATGTAATTTAAGTGGATTCGAAATTTCCTAGGGTATGGATGTACATATCGATATGGTTTTATACGTATAAAATTCCGAATCCGTTTCCACTTACAACACATCTTGTGAAGCCAATTTTAAATGCTCCCTAAACTAATATAAAATTAATAATCTATTCTTATTACCATAGTAAATCTTCACATATACTGTACGTACTTCCTTTTTGTTGACTATCGTTGGATTCGTGTTACAACTTAATTACTTGAATCCTCACGATAGCTACAACACATGCACACACTTAAAAACAACCTTTTTACATTAATAAAATGGAACTAAGATGGATCTCGATATCTCCATCATATGTAAGTATATTTTATACCTAATTGTGAATTGCTTATACTCTTCCGAAAGCTTAATGCGCGTCGAGGCAATTTTTGGTAAATTCATCGAGTCTGAAGTATAACAGCCACATTCTGATAAGTTTTCCAACTTGCCTACGTTGACAACTTATTTAAAACTTAGTGATTTTGGGATAGTACTGCAAGTAAACCAGAAGAGTAACTGAAAGTTGCTTTCACTACATTTTGTCGACAGCCATTTCACTCTTAACCAATACTATATAATTTAGGACAATCATAACTCTATATCATGCCAAACTTTCGGCAGAGTAGGTTGTCGCTGAATGGCTGTCAGCGAAATGAGTTCAACAGCCGAAATGTAGACTTTTTATAATCCCAGAAACTCGGTTCTCAGTACACTTTTATTATGATTAATTGAAAGTCACCGCCTTCGGTAAAGAACATTATTTATATATTTCGGAAAGTAATTTGGAAAACCCATCTAGTCATAACGGTCGTTATTCTTATCGACAATAAAAGATGTACATCAAACAGTGATTGTAGAATTTAGGGTCCTAATTTAGACCCAGTTCTGCAAATTTGCTAATATGTTTCTCAATATTAAATACATAATTCTGTAATAAAATTAAATTATGCCCGAGAAATTTCAGAATTGTAAATCACCGAGTGGCTGTTTTAATTTCTCGTTTCATAATTATTCTGGTTGAAAAACCAGGGTCCAAAAATGACTAGTGATATATGCAACACCTTAAAGCTTTTATTGTAGGTTAGAAACTTTAGTGCTGTTGAAACTTATGGATGAGAAATTAATATCGCCTATCTTCAGATGAAAAAGTAATACTTATAGGAATGATCGAGAATACTTACAAAATATTTTATTTAATTTTAGTCTTCACCAAATATTAACAACCTTGATTCATTGTATACTCTTGAAGGAATATATAATCAATCAGGGAATTATGAAGGATACATTGAATGTGCGACTAAAATTCTGGAAATTCAGCCTGATGATACAAGAATATTAATGAATAGGGGTATATTTCATATGAATGCTGGGAAGTACAAAGATGCACTTGAAGATTTCAATAAATACTTGCAATGCAAACAAAGTGCGTCAGTGTTAAACAATCGTGCCTTAACTTATCAAAATCTTGGTAAATATAAAGAGGCAATTGTTGATTTAACGAAATCCTTAGAAATTGACCCTGACAATACATCTACACTAAAGTATCGAGGAAAAACTTATATTTTTATAAATAAATATGAAGAAGCAGTTGAGGATCTGACAGAGTACTTGAAAATTAAACCGAATTCCGCGGCTGGATTGGAAGATCGAGGAGTAGCTTATTCTCGAATGGGAAAATACGAGGAAGCACTCAAGGACTTAACTAATTCATTAGTAATTAAACCAGATAATGCGTCTACTTTATATAATCGCGGTACTGTTTATTCTCAAATAGGTAGACATATAGAAGGAATTAATGATTTAACCAAATCTTTAGAAATTGAAATTAATGTATCCGCATTGCTTAATCGTGGTATAAATTACCGTCAGATAGGGAATCATATAAGAGCAATCGAAGATTTTACAATTTTTTTAGAAGAAGCTCCAGACCACGAATTAGCATCATCTGCATTATATCATCGTGGTATGGCTTACCATTCGATGAACAAATATGGTGAAGCACTTGAGGATTTGACAAAATTCTTGGAAGCCTATCCAGATAACGCGCCTGCCTTATACAGTCGTGGTGTAATTTATGGTTTGATGGGAAAACCTGAAGAATCAATTAAAGATCTAACCAAATCATTGAAAATTAGACCAGATCATCCACTTACATTGTACAATCGTTCTTTGGGTTATTATCTGATGGGCAGAAATGAAGATGCATTACAAGATTTAAACAAAGCTTCAGAAATTGATCCAGATAATGCACCAATATTTCACAAAGAATCAACTCTTGGTCGGATGGTCATGTATAAAGATGAACTTAATGACCTAACAAACTCCTTATGCATTGAACCATTTAATGTATCTTTATTATATAAACGAGGAAATGTTTATTACAAGATTGGCAAATATGAAGAAGCACTTGAAGATTTAACAAGAGTCTTAGAAATTGAACCATATAATGCATCTACATTATCTGATAGAGGAAATGTTTATTGTAAACTCGGTAGATATGAAGAAGCACTTGAAGATTTGACCAAAGTTCTGGAAATTGAACCAGATAACGTTTCTGTTTTGTATAATCGAGGAAATGCTTATCAGAAAATTGGAAAATATGAAGAGGCACTTCAAGATTTAACAAAATTTCTAGAAATTGAACCAACTAACACGTCTGCTTTATGTATTCGTAGTAATATTTATGGTAATATGGGAAAAAAGAAAGAAGCATGCGAAGATTTAACTAAATCATTAAAAATCAAACCAGATAATGCGTCTGTATTGGTGGACAGAGCAATAACTTATGCTAAAACTAGCAAGCACCAAGAAGCAATTGAGGATATCACAAAAGCTCTTGAAATAGTTCCAGATAATTTATTTGCATTACAAAATCGTGGTGAAATTTACCGTGAAATGGGCAGGTACGAGGAAGCAGTCGATGATTTAACAAAATGTTTAGAATTTAAATCAGATAACGCAAAAGCATTAGTTAGTCGTGGTGCAGCTTATGGTCAAATGAAACAATATGTGAAATCACTTGCAGATTTAGACAAAGCCTTGGCTATTGAACCGAACGATATAATCGCATTGAATAACCGTGCAATTACTTACATTCATTTCGGGGCATATGACAAAGCATTCAAAGATTCAAATAAATCTCTAGAAATTGAGCCTGACCAGCAAGTAGCTTTGGTGCATCGTGGTTTGACTTATTTAAAAGTGGGTAGATATAACGAAGCACTTAATGATTTTAATAAATGTTTAGAAGTTAAGACATACAATTTCGAAATATTAAGTAATCGTGGTCTAGTTTATATGAAGATAGGCAAATATGAGAATGCGCTTGAGGATTTCTCTGAGTCTTTAAAAATCAATCCGAATCATGAGTCTTTATTGTATAATCGTGCTGCAGTTTACATTCAGATGGGTAGATATGAGGATGCATTAAATGATCTGAATTTATGCTTAGAAATTAATCCTGACGCTATACATATATTGAGAGATCGCGGTGCAATTTTTCGCGTTTCCGGTAAATATAGTGAAGCGCTTGAAGAATTAAACAAATTCTTGAAAATAGAACCAGATAACGTAGATGCGTTAAGAAATCGAGGAGCAACTTATATCCAAATGGAAAAATATAAAGAGGCACTTGAAGATTTCACTAAATCTTTGAAATTTGAAATTGATGCATTTGCGTTGAGAAATCGTGGAATAACTTACCATTTGATGGGCAAAAGTAAAGAAGCGCTTGAAGATTTAAACATGTCTATAGAAATTGACCCGAACAATGCACTTTCACTAAGATGCCGAGGAGAAACTTATTGTCGGATGGCCAAATATGATGAAGCAATTGAAGATCTAACAAAATACCTGAAGATTAAGCCAAATAGTGCGTTTGCGTTGGGAATTCGAGGAATGGCATATTATCAAAAGGACAGATTCATGAAAGCGCTTGAAGATTTAACTAAATCACTCGATATAGAACCAGATAATGCGTCTAATTTGTACAATCGTGGTATAATTTACGGCCGGCTAGGTAAATATCAAGAAGAAATTGATGACTTAACCAAATCCTTAAAAATTGACCCAGATAATTTAGATATATTGAATGATCGCGGCGCAATCTTTCGTACAATTGGAAAATATAAAGAGGCACTCGTAGATTTAAGTAAATTCCTTAAAATAAATCCTAATAATATGTGCGCATTGAAAAATCATGGTGCTACATTATATATGCTTAAAGAATATAAGCGTGCGATATCAAATTTTGAAAAAGTATTAGAATTTGATCCGGAAGACTCATTTTGTCTTGGATATTATGGAGCAATTAATTTAAAATTTAAATTATATGAACAAAGCCAGCAATATTTAGAAAAAGCAATTGAATTAAACTCAGATGAACCCTATTGGTATTGTCAACTTGGAGCACTCTTTATTGAATTACAACAATATGATGAGGCCTTAAAAAAGTTGAATGCTGCCATTGAAAAATATAAACCAGATTGTGAATTAGAATTTGACGAATTATCTGAAGCACTTGATTATAAAGCATCTTTATATAGCAAAATTACGGGAAAAAATAATGCGGCTGAATTAAATTTATAATGCATTCGGACTTGATAAAGAGTATTTGAAATTATTTGCTATATATTAATTAGATAATAGGCAAAATAAAGAAGACATCAATTCTCAAGTTATTCAAATTAAAGGTGCAGGCATATTGTCATCACTAACTACGACCTATTCCAAAAACCGGTGTGAAGAAATTTTTACATTGAGGCAATTAAGTTAGGACCTTATTGCGTAAATATGTCTGCACCACCAATTCAAATAAATGTTAATAAAAATGGTGCAATTTAAAAACCTATCGCTATTATATTCATTAATATTTTCAATAAATTCCTGTTTCAAACTTAAAATTTTTGTTCTCATAAACCGGCCGGGTCAACAAATCTAAGGGTGTTGTTGTTCTCAAGCGCCTTAGTTAATCTGTCGAAACGGGTCTGAAAGTAAATTTTAATTAGCAAAAAAAAAAAAACAGTAATTTAGTTTACTATTCCAATCAAATTGATAGTTTAATATGTCAGAGAATTAGCAGAAGTTCGTTAAACCGATCAAGAAAGAGTATTTATCATTCCAATTAAAAAGAAATAGAGATACGGATATTCTTTTTTTTCGTAAGTTGCGCTTATTGACTGAAAATTTTCATTGATTAATTGGAAAGAATAATTGTTTAAGTACTTTTCTTCAAGCTCGGTACCAGCGACTAATGAATTACAGTTCACCCTTGTTATAACGTAGTGTTCGGGCCGAGAAATTCTGTCCGTTATAATGAATATCCGCTATAGCGTTATATAGTATAATAATAATAATAATTTTAAATTGTTCTAGAGAATTACTCTGTTATAACGAGGTATCCGCTATAACGAAGTTCGTTATAACGAGGGTGAACTGTATTATTATCTTATTGCTTGTGTTAAAAGTTTTTTGCCGAAATAAAAAAGATTAAACATCACGGATGGCCAATATTTATCATCTGTCTTTTATGACAATATATACAACTATTCCATTTGTCCTTTCTAGAGTACCTGGCACGCTTAAAAAATTTGGCATGCCAAGTGGCATGCCATTTGTTTAAATTCATGCCACCCTAGCATGCCACTAATACATAACATATATTTTATACGTATATATATATTATATATACTGCCTTATTAACACCAAACAATTATAATATTGATTATTTTTGTATAACTAATTTATAAGGTGGCATGCCAAATAGGCTTTTGGCATGCCTGTGACTACTTTGCCAGGTACCCTAGTCCTTTCGTTACCTACCCATAAGATAGGTGGTTCGTGAAAACAGTGTATATGCTCTGCGTCATTTCACAATTTAGGTCGATTCCAAATTGACCTGGGTCATTCTTGAATTTTGAAACGACGTAGGTCATTCTCGATCGGTGAAAAATTCAAAAAACATAGAACTATACGACTAGGGTAATAAAATATTAATTACTGTATATTGTAAATGCATATGAAATTGGAAAAAAAAGCGCAAAGCTTGCATAAATTACGACTATATTAAAAACAACCTAAATTTTTTTTAAAAAAAACAATAAAAACATAAAAAATTCGCATAACTAACGTAAATTTAAATTCACCACCACGTAGAACACACCCACACTGTCGTTAACATGGAACAAGCATTAGAAGAGTATTTGATTTCTGACAGCGACAACAATTTGAACGATTATTTTGAAGCGCCTTCTTCGGTTAATTATTACCAGATTATTATAAATTAATTTATCTTTGCCTGTTTACTATATATCCCCGTGTAACGTGTCGCGATATATCATTTTTTACAGGGGGATCACCAAATTTCTGGTCGGGTCCATCGGATTTAGGCTGGATTTAGGCTGGCATTTAGCAATACAAGTCATCAGCTGGACAGCTTTACTTAATGAGCGGGCCATGACTTCATTAGCAAAACTTTTAGTGATCTTGGACAAAATTAGTTCTGGCCCTGCCGATCACGATTCCGAGGTATTCCGACCCGGAATTTTGGTGACATCCCTGTATAAGTTCGGTATACCTCTATAACAGATAATATTGGAGTAATTTAGTGGGTCCACCAAAATTAAGCAAATCGGCCCGATTTTTGGGGTCAGGGATGGGCCGGAGCAAAGTGGCATTAAGCGGCTGACTATGTTATGGCAAAATTAGCTTTACTTTATTAGTAAAATTGTGATTTTAGATCTTGGCCTGTTCATCTTTACTATATATGGGGGTCCACTAAAGCGGAGTAAATTACGTAATAATCAACCAATCAAATCATTGAAATTTGATGATCCCAGATCAGCCCGATGAAGCAAAACAAGTGAAAAAAGGAGAAATATGCGAAAAATAGAAGAAACTGTAGTCTAAACCCACCTTGCAGCATTAACAAAAAATGTTGAGAAGGTAATTTTACTTATAAAAACTACCCTAACCCTAACCCTAACCAAAGGTGGGCACTAACCCTAAAGTACCCTAATAAAAAACATTATGTTACATGATTATCTCGCTTTAGCGAACCCCTATATATGGCTGTAAATGTTGTAAACATCTTCTGGCAATTGGCGTTAAAATTTGTAAATTTTATTTGAGTAAATGAAGCAAATTAGGTGGATTTCAAAAATAGTATAGATCAATGAAATTAAAGCAAAAGGTAAAATAATAAAGAAAATGTAAATAGAATAAATTAAATAAATTATATATACAAAACTCACTCTCCCTGATGATCACTCATACCAAATTTTTACACCAAAAAAGAGCAAAAATTTTGTTAGAGTAGTAGACGTGACTATTGGGTGGTTCTTGCAAAGATCCAACCAGGTGTTTTCTCTCTCCTAGGAACTCCTTTGACATATTCGGCATGCAAACCAGAAGCATTGGTATACAAAATTTTGATATTGACAGGCTTGGAGAATAAGTGGTCTTTGCTAACAAAGCAATCAAGAGATAATAAAGAAAAGGGGAACAACAAATAAGTTCTTTAACACACTTTTTGAAAATTTGAAGTACCTAACCTCGAAAACCACTTTTCATATTCTCACCGGGTTTTTTGGTGTTTCTCTCAAAATTTTTTCTGAAAAGTGGGAAATTCAATATACCCCCAGTAAAAGATTAATAGTTGTTTACACTACCATATCAGGACAAAGTTTGAGGGTCACAGGGCTCTATACCTGGCAACAGACTAAGGACATGTGACAAGAAAAATATAAACAAAAAAGTCAACCAGTTGGTTTATATCGATGGGTAAATAAAAAAAATTTCGTATTCTCCACATAACAAGAACTATTTTAATACCAAAGTAAAGCAAAGATGGAGATTCTTTTGTGAAGTATTAAATAATTTTTAAATGAAACTGGTATTTTCCCAAGCACTTGGTGTATCCGGTGCTTTCATGGTTTCTTGCTTTTTTCTTTTTTTTTTTTTTTTATCATTTTATATTTTCTTTTTTTTGTATTTGACTTACATATAGGTTTTGTAGATTTTTCACTTTTTTTTTACTATTCTCTTTTTAGTTTAGTATACTTGTCATTCTTGAGGCAAAGATTATAAAATCCTCTTGCTGGGATATTAAGAAGAGGAGGGTCTTAAGAAAATTAGTGGTCATGACGAGCGGCCAATTTTAGTTAATGATGTACCTAGAGATTAAGCCCATATAAAATTTCTACTTCAAGTAACCCACTCATATAACAAATTCTTAACAAATTTTTAACCGGATAACAACCCAGTTAACTCGAATAATCCGGTTAACTCGGCTAACCTGGTTAAGATATTAAAAAAATTTTGTGTTCCTTATTATTAGTCCATACAAATTTGATTACTTGGTTTTCATAACATGAAACTTTTAAATAGACCCGGCCGGCCGGCTTTTTTTTTTAAA